TCTGCAAAGCAGAAGTGACTTCATCCTAGCAAAAGTGGTCATTATCACCAGGAGGTACAAGAAGGAGACTGCTTTGCTGTCCTAATTATTTACTTGTTTCCCAAAGATATAATTAATGTATTAATTTTAATAATAAGAACAAAAATAAAGTCAAAAAATAAACCAACGGATGGTCACGGGTAAGTCACGTTCCTAACAGGTAGCAAGTGGCAAGTGTCTGTGACCAAAGAATCTCCCTGTGCAAAGAAGAGTTAAACAGGAAGAGGAGTGCTCACTGATGCCCTTGCAAAGGTAAGTTCATGAAAACTGGTAAGAACAGCTCTTTTAAAGTTTAATAATCGTGTGCAAAGGTAGAAGTTTCTAGTTGTACTCAAATTTGTCCTTCTGGACCAAGTCCAGGACCTGTATCAACACTACAGAAGTGGTTCTCAAAGTGAAGCCACTTAAACAACAGACCTGTATGCATTTAAACTGGAGAAAGTTTTGATACTAGATAAAATTTTAATGAAACAAATCTCCAATTATAATCCAAAAGCAAGAAAACGGTTGCAAATACATATGCATATCTTATAAAAATCACAACCAGCTCACTGTCTCCCACACACATCCAGAAAAGGGGCACCTTTCAGAAGCCCCAGGCTTTGGTTGGCAGGACTACCTGGGCAGGGAAGGCAGGGGACCTCACCTGGTAAAGCTTGATGATGTGGGGGTGGTTCAACAGCTTCATGAGCTGGACCTCACGGTAGATTTTCTCCAAATTGCTTGAATCTAATCTTGTTTTATCTATTATTTTTATTGCAACCTGCATATTTTAAAAAGGAAAAGGATATTAGAAAAACAAACCACTTATCCACATTTATAAGTTTCATTTTTTGCAAGTTAATTTTGCAAACACTTTATATCTCCTAAAAGGTCACAAAAAGCTGGGGAAAATTAACCAAAGGAACCACTGATATTTAAAGAAATCAAAGTTACATGTCTCAAGTGAATGAGGCCAGCTTAGCTCTGAATCCAGGAACCACGCCTCCCCTGACTGTGTGTGCATGGTTTTTCTTGTTGTTTTGTCTTTAGTTTGGTTATTATTCTCACTGCTATTCTTTAAAATTTGTACAAATTATATATAAACGTATCACAGGACTTTTATTCTTTACCAGACTAGGGCGTTAACAATGACTGACAATCAACCCAGCAGGCGGTGAATCAGCCCGGGGTCTCGGGTCAGGCTCCCTGTCCTCCCCGCGGCGCCCCTGCGCACCTGCGTTTTGGTGACTCGATGCCGCGCCAGCTTCACCACCGCAAAATTGCCTTTGCCCAGCGTCCGCTCCACATCGTAAAAGCCCACGCGGAGGGGTTTCTGCTGGCCCTGGTCGACGCCCGCCGGGGCCGCACTGAACTCGGACATGATCACCATGGCTCCGGGCCGCACCTGCAGACCAGCGAGGGGCGAGCTCAGCGCGGACGCCGGCCGAGGCTGCGCACGCCCCAGCCCGCCGCCCGCGGTCGGCTCCACTCCAGCTTCCGGACCCTGTTGGGCCACTCGGCCGAGCTCCGCTCGGACACTACCGGCCCGCAGTCGGCTCCACCGGGACCTCTATTCCCCTTGGGACTTGAGGACCCGCTCCCACACCTGTCGCTCAGGGTCACCTCCGGTCTAGTAGTCCCGGATCGCATTAGCTCCGCGGGGCGACAGGACCCGCCTCCGCCGCCCGCGGTTGGCTCCACCTGATCCCCAGACCCCGTGCGCCCCGCAGGCAGTGCAGAACCGCCAGCCCCCGCCGTCGAACCGGTTCCATCCCGCCTCGAGGACCCCGATCTCTGGGGGTGTGCGGACCCGCTCCCCACCAACACCGCCGCCTGCGGACACCGCCGCCGGCGGTCGGGGTTCCTTTGACTCAGAGACTCCGGTGCCCCCCGCGCCGTGCAGAACCGCTCCTCCCCGCCCACCAACGCCCGGTCGGCTCCATCCCGACTCCAGGACCCCGATCCACGCGATCCGCGCAGTGAGTGAGGACCGGCTCCTCGCCGAACCCCGCCGCCCACGGTCGGCTCCATCCCGATCCTGGGTCCCTATCCCCGCGGCCGTGCGGACCCGTTCCTCGCCGCCCGCGGTCGGCTCCATCCGATCCAGAGACCCCCGAGCCCCGCGGCCGTGCGGACCCGCTCCTCCCCGTGCCCGCCGCCCGCGGTCGGCTCCATCCCGACTCCAGGACCGGGCTCCCCGCGGCCGTGCGGACCCGCTGCTCCGCGCCCCACACAATGGGGAGCCGGGGGCTGCGCGCCCGCCCGAGCCCCCCGCGCGCTCCTGCAGGGCCTCCAGCGGCGGCCGCAAGCCCGAGCCCCGCCGCCGCTCACCTCCGCCGCCGCCCGCGCGCCCCGGCCCGGACGCCGCCGTCCCCGCTGCCCCGCCGCCCGCTCGGCTGCTCGCGCTACTCTGGCGCCTGCCGCTCGCGCCGCCGCTGCTGCCGCCGCCCGGGCCGCGCCGCATGTCAGCGCCGAGGCGCCCGCTGGCCGCACGCGGCGGCCGCCCCGCCCCGCCCCGCCCGCCGCCCCGCCCCGGCCGGCCCGCCGGCCGCCACAGCCCATTGACGTCGCTTTGACGCCAGAGCGACGCGCGGCCCCGCGCCAGGCGGAGGGAGCGGAGATCGGGCGGTTGCCAAGAGACGGGCGGCGCTGACGCGCGCCGGAGAGGCCGTCGCCCTGGCGACCGGGGCGGTGACGTCAGGGGCGCCGGCCGCCCGCGCCGCCGCCGGCGCGCCCCCTGCCGGGCACCCGGGGCCCTGCGCGCGGCCCTCTGGCCCCGCTGCGGGAAGCACCGCCCGCGCCCCCGCCAGCGCCCCGCCGCGGGGACCCGCGAGCCCCGACCCCCGCCCGGGTCCTCGCGCTCCGCTAGACGGGACGGCTCCTGGGCGCCGCCGCAGCTCCCCAAACGCGAATGGCCCGGCCAGCGTCGCCGCTGGCCCCCTGCTCCCGGGGTCCGCGCCGTGGGGCACGGCCCCCTCCGTGTCCCGGAATCCGCGGGACGGCGGGCCGGGGAGCTGCGGGGCGGCGCGCGGGAGGGTGGGCGGGCGCCGGGCGCAGCGCGAACCCCCTCCCCGCCCGGAGAGGCGGCCAGCTGCCCCCACTGGCGGCCGAGCCCGCGCCCCAGAAGCCTGAGCCAGCCGGTCACAGTTAACTTTTGTTCTGAAAAAAATCTCAGTGTTCAGCAAGTTGGAAACTCAAAACATGAGAAAACGTGGTCGGCGTCTTCCGGAGCCCCGCAGCCCATCCAAGGGTCGCACTCGCAGCCGGGGCCCAGCGCCCTCGGGGGCCCGCGGCCCAGGTGAGGTGCTCAGCATACAGGCAGAAGGACACAGCCCCTGCCAGCAGCCCTGGCCCCAGCACAGATCATCAGGGCGGCAGAACCTGACCCCTTGAAAGACTGGGCATTCTGTGGCTCCCTGGCGACGGTTACAGTAGGCCAACTGGCCGGTCCCACCATGCCCCCAGAGACTTCACCGCAGCAGGGACTCTGGGGACCTGGATCTTCTGCGCAGCACCTGGGACCTTGGGGCTCACCCTGAGGGCCACCCAGAGGCTGACTGCTAAAAGTAGGGACCATCAAAGGGGAGATGGCTGGGGAGAGAATGGAAACAGCGCGTGCTCGGTGACAAAATACTCGGCTTCTTAGGGAAGACAGAGGACAAGGGCAAATGGTGTTTCTCAGACAGTAGGAAGGCAGCAGTTTGGCGCATAAATCAAAAATAAATCTCCACCTAACTCAAACTTCTGCGTCTGCCTGGGACTGTTTTTCCTTGTGTTAGATAAAAACACCACTTCAGAGAGGGGTGGGGAGCAAGAATTAAGCAAAATTGATTCAGGACTAGAACCTTCTTTAGGGAGGTTTCCTGTGTGGGAGGTGACCAGGGCAGGCTGACCTGGAAGAAGGTCCCTTGAGGAACCCTAGAGAGTGCTGCTGACAAGAGCCCAGCCCACCAGAGATTCCCCAGTCACCCCCACCTCTGCTGGGGCTGTTGTCTGGGGTCAGCATGTTGAAAGGCACTCAAGGACACTGGAGTCCCAGGCTTCCTCAGTCTCAGAGTGCTCTCTTTATTTGTCCCAGGTTCATACACCACAATTTAGAGGAGTATTTTTAGTTCCTTCCAGTTGAACAGTTTGCAATTGCTTTTCCCCACTTCTGGGCGTCCCAGCACCCTCCTCTGTCCCCGGGCGGAGGCTGGGGGTGGGGGCAGAGACCTGACTGCACACAGGGTTCGCCCCTCACCCTGTGACTTACCGCCTTTCTCCTGGAATCTAATGCAACATCCGGCAGCAGCCTTCTCAGCACCCACTCACCGCCCACCAGCCCCAGGTCCAGCCAGAACCTTTCAAAAGGCCTGAGGTGTGTGCAAACATCCGGCTGGTGGTTTGGAAACATTCCTTCAAGAACAACTAAAAACTGCAGGTCAAGGAGTGGGAGTCCCAGAGTAGACCCTGGACCCCGGTGCCACTTGGCCCTTGTTCCTCCTTAGCTTCCACCCCCTAGCCCCCCTGTGCCAACAGCCTTATACTGTCTTTCCTTCCCAGCCCCCAGGGCAGGAGCTTGCTCTGCTCAGAAAGGCGGGAAAGGGGAGGGGAGCACCGGGGAGGGTCATCATCTGTCCCCAGGGGGTCTCTCCTGCATCCCCTGAATCCCTTTACGTCTTTACCACTGATGGGCCTCTGCTTCCTGTGGCTCTGCTTGTCCTTTGTGTCCTTGGCCCCTGGAGGTTGACTTCCTTCCAGAATCTGTTCTTTCCTTCAGTTTTCTGTCTTCAGTGGAGGAAGCCCTCTGCCTCAAGCTCTGCCAGAGGGCCCCGTTTTTATGTCACTGTGACTCGGGAAGCGGTCATCAGTGTCTTCCATTTGGAACTCCTTACCCCTGCCTGTGTGCACTGCTTCTGGAGTTCATCTGATTGTTTCTGGACCTCGAGACTGGACATCTCATCCACTGGAAGTGGGTCCTTTAACTCCATGGCTCTAGCAACTGAGGTGACAGCCAGGGGCATGCGTAGACTTCTCTGCACAAATCAGTCACGCTGGAGACTGAAGTCCACAGCAGCATTGATCCAAGTGGTGAACGCACCCCTGTCCTGGGCTGTCCTGACCCTGCGTCTGTCCCCTCTATAATGGGGAGGGGGCAGCATCTTCGCACCTTTCCAGGGTGGCCCATGTCACCTCCAGGAGTGAGGTGAGGCACCCCCACCTCTCCCAGGTACCTAAGGCTTTGTCCAGTTTGGGTTTGTGCTTTGTTTTTTGCTTTCAGGTCAGGGCCCTGGTCTCTTTAGCCCATTGAACTTGGGGAGTTTTGACAGAGTCACATGTGTGCTGAGTCAGGGGGTCATTGCCCTGGCCCAGAGAGGCCGCTGGGAGGAAAGCTCCAGACTCTCTGGCCCGCGGACGGCCCAGTTGACCTGGCTGGAGGCAGGAGCTCAGCGTAAGCAGGCTGGCCCAGAGGCCGCTGGGTTTTGCCCTAGGCTGTGTCCCTCCCGCCCTCCCCCCTCCTGGGTCTGCTCATAGCTGTCTCCTTTGCTCGGACCTGGCTGGGGAGGTGCCCAGGTCAGCAGCCAGGAGCCACTAAGCCCCTCATGAAAGCTGGCCTAGCAAGAAGTCTCTGAGCTCCCAGGAGGGAGCAGAAGTAGGGGGAAGAGAGTGGGGGAGTGTCTTGGGGCTTGGTGATGAGACAGGGTGAGAGGGACCTGGGGGGTCTGGAGGGACAGCCTCTGGTGGGCAGAGCAAAACGGGAACAAACAGGGCTTTCAGCACACCCCAGGGGAGAGCTGGCTATTCACAGGCCCAAGGGCCCTCACCATCCCACAGTTCTGGGGTCTCTACTGCTCATGAGGAATTCCTGATGTAGCCTGTGGGTCTGTCTGATACTCTAGAATGCCAAACCTGGGGGCCCAAGAGGCTTTTCAGTGTGTGTCCCTGACTGTGTTCTAAAGTCATGAGGACACTGCAGGTGAACGTCGGATAGGCCAACATCAGTGAGGGGCAGCAAGGGCCAGCAGTGAGGACACTGGTAGTAACTGGGAATTCATTTAAGAAAAGCAATACCAAACCAGCTGGGGGTGGCTGCTGGCCCTGAGGGGCATCTATGGGTGGAAACCCCATCCCTCCAGGTGAAAGGAAGCCTCATCTATAAATGCCCATTTCCCACCACTTTATTAGAGGTGCCAAGCAACTGGGGGTGTCTTAGTCTGTTTTCTGTTGCTATAACAAAGTACCTGAAACCAGGTGATTTATGAAGAAAACTGGGGTTTCTTTGCTCAGGTTCTGAGGCTGGGAAGTCCAGAGCATAGCACCTGCCTCTGCTGGGCACGTGGTGGGGACTTCTTGCTGCATCAGGACATGGTGGTGTGTGTCACATGGGAGACAGCAGCAGTGCCAGCTTGGGTCTCTTCCTCTTCTCATAGAACCACTGATCACCTTCTGCAGGCCCATGTACTATGAGCATATGAACTTGGCTGGATGCATTGAAACCCCGAGTGGAACATAGTCCGCTCCCTCCACCTTGCAGAGCGCGGCCCCGGGCTCTGGTCCCAAGATAGGAGAACAGTCCTGGAGCCCAGTGTGGGCTGTGAAGTGCTGGCCACATCCTTCCTCCTGTCCTGCAAGGGCTGCACAGAGCACGGCTAGTCCTCTGGGAGTGCTAAGTCTGCAGATGCCCCCAGCACCGAGCTCGGGAGACTGTCCTTCCCCATGACCTCCCATCACTGGTCTGCACGTGTCTGCGCTGTAAGAACTAAGGCACAGCAAACATGAACCGGAGTGAGCATGGTCCAGACTGCGTGTGGTGACAGACACATGCTGCTGGTGTCACGATGGGAAGGGACAAGTCACGAGAGAGGTGAGATGAATGACCCAAGCCTGAGTTCTGGGAGGGCTTTGCACCTGAGAGTCCCCGAAGGCTCTGGTGAGAGGGGCGAGCAGTCAGATGTCTCCTCTCCAGGGCCCCCAGTCCTGGGCAAGGAGACGGCAGAGACCGAAGACAACCAGAAAGCCACTTCAGAGGACAGTGACGCAGGAGGGCAGCAAACCAGGGCTGTGGGGCAGCAGGCTTGGCAGGGAGAGTGGCCTTGGGTGGGCACTGCCCCCGGGCAGAGGTGTGGACACGGGACGTGCCATTTACCTCTTCTTTCTCTGGTCTCTGAGCAGAGGTTCTTGGTGACGGGGGAAGAACTGGAGAGAGGAGAGCGGGATGAGCCCTGAGACTGGAGGACAGATACAGTGGCCGCATTCAGTAGCATCAAAGGTCCATTTGCAATCTGTTGCCCAGATATCTGTGTGATTTTCTCCAGAGGAGCTTGGAGGGCAGATGTTTCACTGCTGTGCTCCCCCAGGGCTGGAGCATTGTGGCAAGGGCGATGGGACAGAGGAGCCAAGGCACAGAGATTGAAGACAAGGGAGGAGCCCAGTCGCACGGCCAAAGCTATGATTCCTCACAGCTGAGCGGCCAGGTGGACCGTGGGGGTTGGGCTCCCCTCCTCAGGAGCAGGCCAAGGAGGGACAGCAGTGACCAAAAGGTTGGGACTCTGCCTGCTTCCACGGCTTCTGCATGGATCCCAGTCAATTTCAACTGCCTTGGCGTGAACCAGATGAAGTGTCCCCTCGCAGACTGGGCTTTTCCTATAAGAAAAAGGTTTCGTCTAAGTCTAAAAACCACTGTAGTGCCCCTTATCCTCAGGAATGAGTTTCAAGATCCTCTGTGGAGGCCCGACTGAGGAAAGCACCAAACCTACAAACACAACGCTTTTCCTATGCATAATACCTGTGATAAAGTGCACTTCATAAATTAAGCTTAGTAAGAAAAAGACATTGATAACTAATATTAAAAAAGAATAATTACAACAAAATATTTCAATAAAGCTAATGAATGTGGTCCCCCCAGTCTCAAAATGCTGATTATACTGTCTCAACCTTCTTATGATGGTGCTGTGGGTGGGATGAGATGATTGAGTGCGTGATGTAGGCAGAGTGTCACAGCATGCTAGGTGAGGGTCACTCGATCACAAGCACTATGAGTCTGTGATGGCCTGATTACCTAGACTGCTGCGTGGGCAGGTAGTGCATACAGCATGGATACACTGGACAAAGGGATGGATGGCTGTATCTTGGGCAGGACGGAGCAGGATGGGTGAAGATTCCATCACACTACGCAGATGTCATGCAATCACTTACTTCTGGAATGTTCCATTTAATATTGTCAGAGATTGATCACAAGTAACTGAAACCATAGAAAACAAAACGGGATGAGAGAATGATTAATAGAAAATATTCAGCAGAAAGTTTAGAAAATAGAGACACACAAACACGAAAACAGAAAGCAAACTAGTAAGGCTCCTGACGGTGTGGTGTGCCCATCTAGTCTCTTTACAAAAGCAGCACTATGTCGTTGGGATCTTGCCAGAATTCCCATGGAAATGGGTGAGCAGGTCCCCATGGTGTGTTGGGGACCCCTTGGTCTTTTCACCCTGGGGATCAGGGTCTTTTTGTAGGGTCTGTCATAGCAGAGGCCTGTGGCTTGGGGGGACAGGATGACCCAGTTCCAGCCCTCAGTGTCCTCTCCTGCCCAGGCTGACAGTTGACCACTCTGACCACTTTTCTCCCCATTTCCAAGCAGATCTGTTCTGAGACAGTGTGACTGCCTCAGAGACAGCAGGTGAGGCCTGGACTCGGACCCAGCACCCTCAGGGTGGCCCAGGCCCAGGGAGGAGGGTGGTGCCAGAGACCGGGGCAGAGCCAGCGACGGGGATCTGGAGACAGAGGCCCTTAGAGCCTCTTGGGTCCTGGGATGAGGCCAGCATGGCAGGACTCCCCCTCAGAGGTGGGGGCTGTCCCTGGGTAGCGAGGCATCCCGCCTGGCAGCTCAGCAGCAGGCCTTTCTCCTCACGGCCAGCAGGGGGGCTTCCACCTCTCCAACCTGGTTCTTTAAAAAACCCATGGGCTTGTGTCATAAGGAGGGGAGAGACCAACCGGACCACCCTGTGAAACTGGCCCCAAGACCCTCCACAGGTATGGCGGGGCAGCCCCTGAGCCAGCACAGGCAGGGGACGTGGGTGGTGTCGAGCAGAGACGGGAAAACCCTGCCAGGCTGGCCCTGCCTCTGTGGCCCCTGCAAAAAGCAGACACTGTGGGGAGCGGGGGGTGCATCCCCAACTGCTTAGGTCAAGGTGAGAGTGGAACTGGACTGAGCCTCTCAGGACCAGCAGGACCAGAAGGAAGTTCCAGCACCCCTTCCTCAGGGCTAGGATTCCTGGTCACCTTGAGACCCGGAAGCTTCCAGACCTTCTCACAAGTCAACCACAGACTGGAAATCAGCAAGCAAGGTCCACAACCTGGGCAGCAGGACTGCGGCCACAGCAGTCTCGGCGCCCCATCCCACCTGGGCTGCCGTTTCTCAGGACCAGCACGGGGTCAGGGCTGCGGAGATGGAGCCCCTGCAGACTTCCCTTGGAATCAGAGAGCAGGGAGGACATGCCCCGGAGAGACACAGGTGAGGGGACCCTTCATAGGACCCAGAGGACGGCCAGGCCCTGAAAGACAGAGGAGGCCCTGGGTGCGGGGCTTCCCCCTTCCTTCTCCACAGAGGGACCCCAGTGTCCTCGGGAGACCCCCGGACTCCAGCCAGGGCTGCGTAAGGTGGACCCGGGCTCGGCCCTGCAGACGCAGCCCGCTCTCAGTTCCCGAAGCTGGGAGCCAAGCTCACGGGGATGCAGGGCCCAGGGCCCCAGGAAGGCTCGGGGAAGGGTCTCTCCTCTACTCGGGCTCCTGGCGCTCCTTGGCGTTTCCCGAGTTGCAGAGCCACTCTGCTCCCACTGGCTTCTGTCTGCCCAGGACATGGACTCCGCTGAGCCCGTGGCTTCACGGGCCTTTCACAAGGACAGCAGTACTGGAGTTGGGTCCGCCCTGCCCAGTCAACCTCAGCTTCATTTAACAACTTCCTCTTCAAAGACCCTATTTCCAAATGATGTCACTTTCCGACTTTCCCATGGATGTGAGCTTCAGGGAGACGCCACTCAGCCCGACCAGCACCCGGCAGGGCAGAGGTCAAGGCCCTGGACAGGCGATCTGAGAACACGGAGGCTGCAGGGCTGAGAGACCCCTGGAGGGGCTGGAGCTCAGGGTTGTCCAGGGCTGTGTGACAGGCACTCCCCAGGGAGGGACGCCAGGCTCAATTTCCAGGGGAAGGGGCAGCAGAGCAGGCCAGAGGCCGGGACCTCAGGATACAATGGGGGGGTGGGGGGAAGAGGGGTGTGGGAACTGAACGGTCTCCTGTTCCCCATCTGCCCTGCTCCAGGGTCCCCTCCTCCAGCCTCCTGTGCGCCAAGAGAATGCCCAATGCCTGCCGGTGACTTACGCAGTGAGTATGTCCCCGAGGTAGGGGTCTCAGACCAGGCTGCCACACGCGCCTCCTTCCCCCAGAACTTCCCACCCCACCCTCCTCCCTGGGACTCCCATGGGGCCCGTCCCCCGAGAATTGGGCTGAGACCCTGTCCTCCTGGACCTTACCCCATCTGCACTGACCCCCCCAGACCTGGTGGTCCCTGTGAGTCCTTTCTGGACCAGATGTTCTCCTACCCCCACCCCCAAAATCAGACAAGAAAGGGGGGGCAGACGCACCACGGGCACTCTGATCCAGGAAAACATGTCCCCTGAGGCTGGCCCTCACGGGTGCAGGACAGGGCTCTGTGGGGCTCACGTGGGAGGTGCCTGCTCTCGGGGTCCCCTGAGGGCTGGGCTGTGGCCCTGGCCTACTCAGCTTGGTCATCCATCAGCGCGCTGACCTGTGGGTGGAGGGCAGAAGGGTGGGTAGGACGAGGAGACTTCCCCACTCCTGGGGTGAGCGGCTCTGGGGAGAGCCGGGGGGGGTGGGCAGTGCCCTGGGCCCTGGGGAAGCAGAGCTGCTGGCCTCCTGGCAGCCGGGCAGCAGAGAGAGGAGGAAGAGGAGCAGGCTGGGCACTCAACTCTCCATCAGGGCATGTCCCGTAGCCCACTTCCTCTGACACGGCCTTGCGTTTCCTCCCCTCCCGGTGTCCACTTGGGCTAAGGATCCATGAATGGGTACTCCACTGTGAGGTCACAGCCCTCCTGACCCAATGCCCTCTGAAGTCCACCCAAACCTCTGCACTGAGGACTAGCCCTCGACACATAGAATTCAGGCGGACATTTAAGATCTAAACCGTAGAGCAGTGGCGTTCGTCGAGACGGAAGCAGCATGGTGGGTGTCGGGCTGGACGGGGGGAGGTGGGAGTTAGTGGTCAGTGGGTGGAGTCTGGGAAGATGCACTGTCCTGGAGGAGGGTGGCCGTGGTGGTGGCACTCTGATGTGGGTGTGCTTAGTGCCCCTGGACGCTGTGCCCTCGGCCTTTGCAGTGGTCAGTCTCTGCTTTGCTCTTTTAGAGTGGCTAACCAGGCCCAAGGTCCAACCAGAAACAAGTGCCAGTGTCCCCCTGGCAGGCCTCGGCCCCAACTCAGAGACCAGAGATGGCCCAGGCCCTGAGGCCAGCCCAGTGAAGGAGGCTCATCGGCCATGCTGGCCCAGGGTGGCGGGCCTCAGGCCCTGCCTCAGCACCTGAGCCCACCCCCACTCCGCCCCGAGGTGGCCAGAGGACACCTCAGCTCTCCCATGCTCAACACCCTCTCCTCCACCCCAAGCGAGGTCTCCCGGCTCCCCACATGCCAGGGAGTGGAGGCACTGCCCTCAGCCACCCCTGCCCCTGTGGGGCCCTGATGGAGGCCTGGGCACAGCGGGCGGCAGCTGGAGAGGCTGGATGAGGAGGCAGGCGCCCTGGACCAGGCTGAGGCTGCCCCTCCAGGCCTGGGCCCGCACACCCCGCGCAGGAGGGCCCAGGAGCCCAGGGCACGGCAGACCTCCCTCACCTGCTCCTGTTCCCAATCACACCTGAAACCAGGGTCACGCTCCTGTGCTGACGCACGCCGTCCAGGGAGGCCCCGAACTGCCTGCCACACCCCTCTCCCAGACCTGTGCCTGCACCCTCACTGAGTGGACAGCAGAGTGCGTCCGCAGTCGGGGGTCCCACCCTGTGGTGGACGCTGGTCGAGACTCTGTGGTCAAGGCTGCTTTGAGGCCTCTCTGGGGACGGAACCCCCAGGAGCTGATGCACCCTGACTCTTGGGGTGACTGTCACTGGAGCACCCTGTCAGGGCTCTCAGCTGCATGCCACAGGTGTAGGCTGGGGGACCTGCCTGGACAGTGTTCCTCCCTCCACAAGGGGTGGGGTCGTGGGTCGTAGGGGCTGCTGGACCCGGCCTGGAGGGGCAGGTGTCCCTGCGCCATGCCTGGGCAGCCAGGCTCTGGCCCTCAGAGGCCCTTGGTGGCTGCATCAGATCCAGAGAATCAAGAGCCCTTTGGGGGTCCCCCACGTGTGGGGCATGTGACCGTTGGGCTGGTGGCAGTGAGCAGGAGCCGGAGGGCCACAGTGGGGTCGTGTCACTGTGCCTTGATAGATGGCAGCTATTGAAAGCCCAGTTGGCCCCATAGCACCCATCAAGGCCACAGAGCAGATGTCCAGGGCCACGTCCCCAGGCCCCCGAGGGGGAAAGCTGGGCTTCCAGGGGTCCCTGCGGTGGTGCAGACAGGACAGTCCAGAGCCGACGCTGGCGCTGGAGGACCTAGGGCAGAACCTGAACTTCTCTGGGCGTGTCCTGCAGCCCAAGGGCATTATCCATTGCCACAGGGAAGGTGGTCCCTGGGCAGGCAAAGCTGGCCTGCCCAGGTGCCAGCCCTTCCTTCCAGATAGACCCCAGGGAGCTCCGCCAGGCACCCCAGGCTGCAGAACTGCAGGCTGCCCAGGGAGGTGGGGGAGTCAGGCAGGGTGGAGAGTGAACCCCAGAACCCGGCCTCAGTCTTGAAGGCTGGTGCACCGTGAGCTGGAG